CTTATGTAACCGAAGGTCACTTGTCTCACCAATAACATGCACCATATCTATGCTTAAAAAAAAGTAAAGCATAGAAAATAAACGACAACTTTTCTGCAAAAGTACATCCTGTAGTTTTCCACTTTGGAAATAGGATGAGTGATGGGAATAGGAGAGAAAGAAACCTACTTCTGACTGGGGACTGAGCCATGACAGAGATTTATATCACATTCATTTTCATGCAGAGGATGATATTTGCATATGGATTGTACCCTTGTCACAAGGGATCAAGGGTGTCAGCATGTAGCTAAATTTTCCCTTTTGGATGATTTTTGCTTGGTCTGTGGCACATCATCAGCAGACAGAAAAAGGATGGCATGATAAGCAAAAGATCTCATTCTTCCGGTACCCTGCTAAAGCTGTGCGAGAAAAGTAAGGTAGCCTCAGGTTGCACTGGTGCTCTGAATCCTCACTTCACCACTGTTTGTCTTCCCATTTCAAAAGAGTACCCATAAGTGACTCTGGAGAGGAAAACTTCCCTCCACAATCCTGAAAGAATTGTTCTTTGAAGTATAGCTTGTAGGGAGAAGGCAGGCTTACTACTCATCGCAGACATTTTCATACAAAATACTTCCCATGCTTTTCCTTCCCCTACTCCCACTGCAAAACAACCACCCAGATCTTTGTAAATGCCACACTTTCATAATGCAGGAATGTCTATTTCAAAACTAGGACAAAGGTATCTGAGGTACACGACTCAGAAGGAAAAAAGGCACAAATGATCAATGATTGCCATGATTTACACTAGAGTTCCTTGGATTTTGGATTGGGCCCTGACCACACAGCAGGTCTGCCATCCTTATTCATATGGGTAATGCTGTTATGCACAGTCCAGCTCACTACTCTCTGAATAAAGGATTGCCAGACCAGCATTTAGCAGAAGCAAATATGGCACAGGATTTCCTGAGGATTAATGGGTGGCTGGGAGTTTATAATAGCCTGAGGCACACACACTCATTAATCTTAATCCTCAGGAAATGATCTGTACCAAGGTCACTATTTCTGTAATATGATAGAAGTGAACAAAAAAACTACTGTCATACACATATTTATATATTTTTAATGAACTAGAGGTTTCAACTTCAATGTAAAGTTCATGTCCCGTTAATAAATGCTCTACATATCTGCCTGTTAAGAATGGCTGAACTCTTATCTTCTTAGAAGCTTTATGCTGAGACCAAGATTTTGAAGAGGCGAAGCCTTCCTTGTCTCAGACTTGTTAAATCCACAGCATGGCTGCACACCTGTCTGTTTGAAAAGTGCCAAACTTCCAGCAAATCCCACGGATCTCAGATGTTACTCATCTGTCAGAGATGGGCTATGTACTTTGCAAGTTTACAAGCTGGCTTTCACAAGACAGGCACAAGTCATGCCAAAACAGCATTTGTATGGAAAATAAAAGTAAGAATAGGTTCACAAGTTTGTAATAGTATGTCAGGATATTTCTGTTTATCTACATTTTATGGAAGTTAAAAACTTCTTAAGGTCTTTTCTCTCTCATTTCAAATTTTCTTACTCGGAATCAAGTGCATTTTTAAGAGACTCTTAATTAATGTAGATGTTGGTTCTGACTTCACGAATGAATTATTCAGGAGTAAATATGACAAGTTTTCTATAAATACATTATATGTTAATGTAACAATAACACTGTGTAGGTGAAGATGACCTTTAATAGTCACACAACCTGTTTATACATTCTATACTGCTTATGCTATCAAGAGGACTTAGGTAGGACTTCTTTTCTGTCAGCTTTGCAAAGTCCACACAAGTCCAAATGACAGAGCAGTGTGCCTTCTGATGCCCCCATTGTCCTTGAAAATGTTTGAGAGAACGTAACAGTGAATTTTATTTCTGATTCAAAAAGAGGAAGAAAAACTGTATCTTCCAGCAGCAGTACAACTAGAAATCCTACTTCTAACTGCAACATGTGATCTGGAACCCACTAAGAGCCAAGCACAGAGCTCCCAGACTTTACAAGTGCTTTTCCAGAGACTGAAAATTCAGTTCACGTGGCTGTGCCAGCTACAGGGTTGCTGGCATCTACTTGGGAAGTGCTTCAACTGATCGATCCAGCAATCCAGAAGAGCAAGTATTGAGGAAACCATCCTATGAGAGCAGACTGAAATAAGGCAGGTGCAGATGACTGAGATGCAGTATGAGGAAAGGCAAAGGATGTAAACAGTAGCAAAATGGGGAAAGAGGACATGAGAGAGGGGGAGAGAGGGAGTACGCCCAAGTGCAGGAGGTGGCAGAATATCTGCCTATGCGTCAGCTTTCACACTTTTTTCCTATGAGAATGGCACTTTTTCATGTTCTTATACCCAGTTCTTTTGCTGCAAATCCAACAAACACAGCTAATGATGCAATGTTTTTGACCTATTGATCTAAGTCATCATCTGGCAGAAATACCGAGAGGATCTAAGTTAACTAAGATGGGACAGAAAAATGCTCAGAATCTCTTTCTGCTATTCCTTTGAGTCTGATCCATACTCACATTAAATGATCTGGAAGAAATCCTTTGACCTCACAGATTATGCACCAGGTCCACTGTCTTCCATTACATGAGTGCAACAGAGCTGATTTCCTTTGTTTACAAAAAACTCAAAACTAACACAAATCACTCATTTATTGCTTCATTATCTCTCTGATTTTTTCGTAGTAGGAAAGGGCATGTGGAGAAAGCCATGTGGTCCAGAGAAGGCACCAGGTAATCCTTTACATTTCTACATCCCCTCAAATGATAGGTTTATACAGCAAAGGACTACATGTCTCAGACACTTCTGATAAATACTACCCTTTCTTTTAATTCTCAACAATGAAATCGTATCAGCTTAAAAATTACTTAGCTAGCACACTAAAGGTCTGTTAAAGTAAACATGATGTACTAGTTCATTGTTCGATGTTCATTATACACAGGAAGATTAGAACACAAGAAAATTGTGAGAATCTGTAGATAAAATTCATACAGAGCCAAATAGATAATATTATATACAGCAGGGTGTAGTTTTGAATTGAATATAAGACTCAAGCACAATGCCAACCAAATTCGTTAACTACTATTACTTACCTTGGCCAGCCACATGATTTACATTGAAATAAAATACATCTTCTTTTATGGAAGCTTGCAGAATTATCTGAATAAAGAATAATGAATCTGTACACTTAAGAGCTCGAAATCTCAGGAAACAATATGTGCTCAGTGGAGATATCCAATACTCCATGTGTCTGCCTTCCAAACTGCCTGCAGTGCAAAACCAAGTCTGCCCACAAATGAGGTGGTGGTGCCTTAGGAAAGTGGGTAGATTTTTTTCATATTTCACCTATACATCTGAGCATGTTTTTTAAAAAACAGAGTTCCACATGCAAAAGTATTTACTGAATTACATTTCCATATTGAAACTTCCGTGCTCTCATGAATTAATATTTGAATTTGATAAAGTCAGTGTCATCAGCTTAGACATCTGCACATACATAGGTTATTTTCCAGTGTCTTCTTGGCCATTTCTTTATTAAGTTGTGTATTAAAACAGTATTTCCAGCAAATGTAGGTAGATATTTTTTGCTTTGTAAAATTCAACTCAGTGTGTCAGTTTTAATGAAATGTACAGGTGCTTACTGCCTTGCACTATATTTAAAGTCCACAAGACCTTTTTATTCCATTCATTGAAGAATATTAATTCCAAGGCAAATATAAAAGTTTGGAGAGGAAAGAAACAACCAAGTAATAAAGTATTATGAGCAAAGAAACCCTGAAGAAAATTTTACTGGAGTAATTTTTATAAGATTTATCCATTGCAACCATCTCAATCAATCCACATTGACCTCCAGTGTTTTACTGACAAAATGAACAACAGCATAGAGTTATCTGAACTTAGTTATAATACCTAATTTTCAAAAATGCTGGGCTTCTGTGCCCGTCAAGATGGATTTCAGATTTCTAAACTAGTTCTTCGTGCTCTGTCATGAAGGGGGAAGCTTCTGGATCACACTACATTGTGCAAGCTTGCTGCAGGGAGAAAAACAGGGAGAAAAGGTATGAATTCTGAAAAAGCCATGTCTGGGAAACAAATGAAATAAACTTGAGAAATGGAAAAATACCTGATCTTATTTCTGAATCTTTGTTGAATCCAAATTGAACTCCAGTCAATTATTTTTTTTTCTATAATGTGATGAAATCTATTTACTGCTTCAGATGATTTTTTCGTTTGTGCTAACACTATTTGTGACATCACAGACGCATCTGCAGCCCAGGAGCTTTGCTTCAATGGAAAAGAGAAGTGCAAAGGATTGTAATGAAAAATCATAACTTCTAATTAAAAAGTGAAAATTTGAGATTGGAAGTCTTTCCTTCTTCTAGTAGAGTGAAATGGTTGGCTACCAGGTGTATGAAGACATGTTTGGTGTAGCAGTTAGAAGGCCTGCTTACCTCCTGTAGTGATGCAAATAAAAGGAGCCAAACATCTAATTGCAGTTAATGCCTCACATGTTGCAGTTTTTCTAAAGTCAGTGTTAGACCAGCAGAAGTCAAATCTGTGGAGTCTCATTCTTTTCTCTATTCCATATGACAAGTTACCCACTATTTCAGTTTATCTAGGTTTTGTTTCTGATATATTAAAATAAAAACCAGAAAAGGAAACAAAAAAACCCCAAACCAACAACCTACAGAGGAACCAGAGGACAGTTTTTATAACTTTTAAATCACTGCTGTCAGAGGCAAAGCGGACAGTAGTTCTGATACGCATCAACCAAATGACCAGTGTTAGCGCCGCAATGAACACATTCCCTAGATTGCAAGTCTTGGTGGAAGAGCAAAATTCCTGCTGAAAATTCAGACACATTCCGAAAAGACTATTCATAGCTATTTCACAGCAATAGAAACGTAAACAATAGTTTCATGGGGAGAAGAGAAAAGGAAAGCATTTGCTTTTGCAACAGCAACCCCAAAAAATTAATAGGAATACCTTCAGCAAGCGGGTCAAGTGTGTGAATCATGAGCTGGAAGATGCTGTTCCTCATTAGACTGTTGTGGAGAGACGCAGAGCTTCCTCCCCGCTGGAGCCGTGGCTTGGTCTAGGTGGAAAAATAAGGGAAAAGATTTAAGTTCTTTTGTTGTTTCTGTGGAAATAGGTCTGAAACACTAAGAAATAATCTCACCTCACTACAGAGCGAAACATTTTCAACCACCACCTATAGCAGATCAAATTAAAGTCTACACTCTATTCAACATAGTTATATGTATAGAAAATTTCTCTAGAGGGGATGGATCATTACATTAATGTAGTCATTAGTCTCCTAGGGCCCAGGAAAAAATCAGGGAGAAAAGAATCTTCCTCTGTGAAAACTTCTTAAATGTTAAGAAAATAAAAACCTCATACTTGCATCAGGAAGAATTCCTAATTTGTTCCTTTGTAGAACCTTGTGGTTGAATTCCCGAAGTAAGTTCTAATTTTTCCTGCGTCAGTGGACTGCAAATATGCATATTATCAAAAATAAGGGAGAAAAAGGGCAGAGAGAACCCATTTTCAGAAATTCTCTGGGCAACCTGTTCCACGATCTCACCAATCCCACAGAAAAGAATTTTTTCCTAATACCTAATCAAAGGGTTATTCTCTTTCAGTCTGAAACCATTACCCCTCATCCTGTCACTACACTTCGTGATAAAGAGGACCTGCCCTTCTTACCCGGAGGGCCCCTTTAAGTACTGAGAGGCTGCTATAAGGTCTCCCCAGAGCCTTCTCCAGGCTGAAGAGCCCCAACTCTCTCAGCCTGTCCTTATACGAGAGGTACTCCAGTCCCCTGATCATCTTCGTGGCTCTTCTCTGGACTTGCTCCAACAGATGCTGTGCTAGGTGCCCCAGAGCTGGATACAGTACTGCAAGTGGGGGGTCTCACGACAGCAGAGTAGAGGAGGAGAATCACCTCCCTCGATCTACTGGCCACACTTCCCCTGATGCACCCCAAGTTGTGATTGGCTTTCTAGGCTGTGAGTGAACATTGCTGGCTCATATCCAGTTTTTCATCCATCAACACCCCCAAACTCTTCTCCACAGGGCTGGTCTTAATCCAATCATCACCCAACCTGGTTTTTTGTTTGGGATTGCTCTGACCTGGGTGCAGGACATTGCACTTGGCCTTGCTGAACTTCATGAGGTTTGTAGAAGCCCACCTCTCAAGCCTGTCCAGGTCCCTCTGCATAACATCCCTTCCTTCCAGCATGTCAATCACACCACACAGCTTGTTGTCATCAGCAAACTTGCTGAGACTGCACTCAATGTTGGTTCATGGCACCAACAAAGATGCTGAACAGTATCAGTCAAAATACTGACCCTTGATGAACACCATTCGTCACTGACCTCCACTTGGACATCAAACCTTTGACCACAACCCTTTGAGTTCAGCTGATTTCTTACCCACCGAGTGGTCCACCCTCCAGATCCATGGAGATCAATTTAGAGACAAGGATGTCATGTGGGACAGTGGCAAGTGTTTTGCACAAGTCCAGGTAGATTTTTTTTTAATGAAATTTTAAACATATTCTGAAGGTTTTTTTCCCCTATGTCATTGTCTCATAAAATAATAGATGCATTTAACATACCCAAAAAAGTAAGAGTGCTTTGTGGATGGCTGTCTGCTTGTTTTGGTAAAAAGGATAATCAGAGCCAACAGACTGCTGAGTAATAAGTCCCTGAAACCCAATTACAGTGAAAAAAACAAGCCTGAAGAAGATATTATTTTGCAGTAATACATGGTACATGGACTAATCTTTGGTGTCATACAAATACGAAATAAAAAAAGGTAGAAACTGAACAAGAAAATTAATTCACCACTTTATCTTTGGAAATAAATTATATAAGTTCTATAGCAGCATAGCAAGGGCAAAAAAAATTCTAGTGATTTAGAAAAATGCTGTTGTATACCAAACCAAAGTAAGGCTTTCCTCAGCATCCTCCTGAGAAATAAATGCTCAGACACATACTGATTGCTGCCTACCGTCAGTGTTTGGTCATCCTTGTCGCCAGCACTAGGTGACTGCATGAATGGGAAAAAGAACAAAAAGAAGGGTCAGATGGAGCATGCATAGAATGGAAAGGCAGTAAAACACCACAGACGTCTCATCCTATGAATGCTGTTGTGTTAGGTTTATGAACTACTTGAATTAAAGCATCTTAGTGATCTAGTAAATGAGAGTAAATTTGACACTGCAATGCTGCAGGAGTGTTTTATTCTTGTCACTTTCTCGGACAGGAACTCTTGCCATTTCAGGGCCTGGTCCTCAGCAGCTGGGCTGCAGATCATTATGTTCACTTCCTACAAATTATGTAGGGAGGCAGACTCCCTGTACATCAACCAGTTTGTGGGAGTGAAGACTGAAAAATTAAAAGCAGTAGGAAACTCAGGATTGAAGAACTGCTCAATAAAAAGCCTAAAAAGGAGTAAGATTACCTAGGTGTTTTGCAGGAAGGGACTACACAAGAAAATAAAAAAAAGGTGTTTCAATTTAATCATTCCCAGCAAAATGCCAGGTAGCTGAAACTGGCAGCTCCGGTTAAGGACAGGCAGCATAGAACATACTGCTCTGCCATGAAGGAAAAATAGACTTTGGATGGATTACAAAGGCAATTGATGCATTCAACTAAGTGACATATGCTGGAGATGATTTATTCCCATGTCCTATCCCTTTGACAACAGCAGTATAGCACATCTCCAGAAGACACTTCTGAAGGTGAAAAGAATTTGCACTGAAAACAAGCAAACACATTTTTTTTAGTCTGGTTTGCAGTCACAGAATCACAGTCCCCTGTTTTGCTTGTTTCTTTAATAGAATTAACACTTGTGTTAAATGGGATCAAAGAACTTTTGACACAGAATATGTTTTCATGACATCTTGCAAGTGTGTGATAAAGTCATGTTATTTTTGTAGTCCTTCGGCTTATCCCAAGAGAGGGAAGTTAACACCAGAATACACAAAATACGAAACTCCAGCCATCAAGTAGTAATTAAAACAGGACACAGTGCAATTTCCATCTGTCTCACAGTCATTCTTACTTGATCATAGTCCTTTCCCCACAAACTGGCATACAAATAACTTCCTCTATCTCAAGGCTCTTGTTCCATAGAAAATCAAAATCCTCTAGAAAACAAATTATATCACAACTGTTTTATGTGCAGTGAAACACAGTTCTGGGAAACATATCAACATGAACTTTCAAGACATGCCTTTCTGAGACAGTGAATTAACCTTGAAGGTTAAGTGGAAGGTAAGCAATTATGAGCAAACATTGATAACAGAGCATACCCCTTCTGTTAATAATAAGAAAAAGAATAAGCAGAAGTGAACTCTTTGTCAAAAATTTACCCCTTCCCAGATGTGAATATTAACTTGAAAAAGAGCTAATGAGGCAAAGAGAAGATCATTGCTCTGATACAGAAAATACCTGTCACCTCTGAAATTAGACTGCCCTTGTGTGAGAAACAGCTAGGAAAAAAAAGTTTTAGGCCTCTACTGAAGACAACCATCACAGAGATAACTTTTAATGGAGTGGAAAGAAAAGGGAAAAAAAAGAAAATACAAAATCTTTGTTCTAAAATGTCATTAAAACTGTGAATGCATCTTAATTTTTTTTTTTGCATAATATGTGTATATATATGTACAGTATACATGCACATGCTCTTCCAGATAGAAATCCATGCACACACCTGCAAACTCACCATTTATTTTTGTGTACTTTGAGCAATCTTTTACGTGAAGGAAAATTTATCTTGCAGCCAAATTTACAAGAAAGCAAAAAAGAACAAGCCAGGGAAAGTTCTTGTGTCCAAAGAAGCAACTTAGGACAGTCAAATTGTAATGGTCAGTGGATGTCGTTACAGAAGTAAAGTTTGTGAGACAGAGATGAGTGTTCAGAACTGGAATTTTAATAAAAATTTTAAAAACTATTAATTGGGACTTTCAGCTTTCGATGACACAAAATTTGTTTCTTAATTTTAATATCAAAAGACAATAAAATTTATAATTGATAAAGCTGTGTAATGTGTCATTTCCATCTGACAAAGAGATGAAAAATGTTACTTTTCTTAAGGCCAAGAGCATGCCTCGAAAATACCAAGCATGCTCTAGGCCTAATATGATAGTATTCCTAAAAAAAAAAATAAATGTTGACGGAAACACTGTCATTTACTTGAAAGGGAATGAGATGAAGCTGCGTGAATATATAAAAACAACTACATGATAATTTTACCATATAAATTAATTTGTAGAAGATAATTATGCTATAATGAGAAAGAATAATGAAATACATTTTGCATATATGTTAAGGAAACAAAAGGAGAGTGATGAAACCATCTGAAATAATTTAATTCTTCATCAGTACAGAAAGGGATATAACACCATGAAAAAGATTTTTCAAATTGTTTTTTCCACACATGATTAGTGACACAATTGTTTCTGAGCTTAACTTGCCAATCAAGTTACACCCTAGAAGAAATGTTCAAGGCTGGAATATAAATAGGATTCAAAAGCGGAAATACCTCCAGAATTTTAAAAACAGAAATGCAAACAATGGCTTTATATTTTGGAGATACTAAATACTTCTAATGCCTGGATTATCTCATGGATTAACAATAATAACACCTTAAAATACTGTTTCAAACTATGACAGTGAAAAATCTAGTTGTGGTACTGTATGTATTTGATGGCATTTTGTCCCCATTAGGATGGCAGATTAACCTTATTTTTCTATTGTTTAAAATGAGTTTTGCATTTACATGTTCATTGCTGTGTAGTTTGAGTATTACGCACTGTATTGCAAAGTATTCTGAAGTATCATTTTTCCCTTGTAGAAACATTTAGTATCATAGAATCATAGAATCATAGAATGGCCTAGGCTGGGAGGGACCTTAGAGATCATTTAATCCAACCTCCCTGTCACAGGCAGGGACGCCTCTCAACTAGATCAGGTATTCAGACATTTTGTACATCCTTCTAATTTAGAACAACACTTAAAAACTGGTCCAAGTTTAAAACGGTTATGTTTTTTGCAGTGGGAATAAATACTATATTTTTGGACATATTCAATGTGATTTCGTTAAAGAAAAGACACATTTTATGTAAAGAGAAGTTTGCTCTTAAATCATTGCAACCATGGCATATTAGTTCCCCTGAGATCAGAGACAGAAATTCCATGTCTTCTGTGCATTACGTACATTTCTGACGCAATCAAAAGAAAAAAAAATCTTTCGAAATTACATGTTTTAATTTCCTTGAAACCATGAATTTGCTATAGTTCTGAAAAAATAAAACCAATGTATTTTAGTATAGTCTCTTATTCAAAAGCATCTGATCTGATCAGCATTTTGATCAGAATTATAATGAGATTAGTCATGAGACAGTTCACTAACTATTTCAGAGAGTTCAACAAATATTTATTGGTTCTCCTGTATGCCATAGCAGTACGTAAGAGTTTGTCCATCTTCTTGCCTGTATCAGTGATCACATATTCAATTTTGCTCCAAATGTGCTAAAAGTTTAAAAATATGTATTTCAGGAAGAATAAAAAAAAGAAGTCTACTTGATATAAGAAATGGTCTATGGCATCCTTTTCACATATCTCTTTTTCTCACTGATAAAAGTTCACCAGTGATCAAACGTGACATCTTCCTTGCCTTGTTTAGGAATGTGTGCTGTCGAGAAACAGGCTCCTACAGTAATTCATGGATGAGATGATGCCTCATTAACCATGTGGTGACTCTCCTCATGCTTTCCTTTAATATAAAGGGCATCATGATGATCAAATGAGGAGCAGAATGTTTGAAAAGCTCTAGGTATTTGACACAGAATATCCTTCTTAGTAAAAGATGGCTCATAACTTGAATCATCTATCAGACTATTTATTCCAAAGCCAGAACTGGAGAGCTGGACTGCTTGCAGCTTCAGGAGGTGCTGCTCTTGTTGAAGGTTCCATATTAGAGGTTCAAGAGCCTGAAAGAACTAGTGAACTGGATTGCCCATCCCCTTCTCCTAACATAAGAAAAGCAGGCTGTCAAGTAACAGCAGTACAAACATAACTGGATTTCAACACCCTTTCTACATTGTGGGTTCACATCTCTTTTCCGCTTGCTAAATCTTTTCCAACTGTAGTAATTACAAAATTGTTGTTTATTTGTTTGTTTGTTTTTTAAAATAAAATAAATAAACCAGCTTTTATAGGAATAATGAAAGTTCATCATGTTTAATGCCTGGCAGGGTGAAACTGAATGAAATATGGTGTAGAATATGAGCTCAGATAGAACATTGTCTTAAGGCGTTTTATAGTGATAGACTTTCTTTACTCTCTCTAATGCCTGTTTTCAAAAGCAGCATCTGGGCTCTGCAATTTTGTATATATCAGCGAAGCACTGCTGCTCAGTCCTGAGGTAAATCACAGGTGTGGCTTTCTGGGGCACAGAGCACTCTAATCTTTGCAATACATGCCTAAGGTGTATAGGTTTTTTTGTTAAGCTGAACTGCAAAAAAACCGAGATGCATTCAAAGGCAGCCACTGAAGTCAATCTAGTTAACTTAAGAGGGTCTAGATAGTTCCTAAAAATTGTTATCCTAAGGAGTGCTAGTAAAGCATTTGGAATTAAACTGTTCTGCATTTATTTGAAATTATATGGTAAATTAGAACTAAAATCTAAACCAGCAAACTCAGCTAGACAGATCTCAGAAATAAGCCTAATGAGCTCAGTGAAGGAACAAAAAAACGAAGTAAGGTATTCTATCTAGTTCTCTTAATACGTACATGCTTAGTTTTTATGACAGAAGAATTTCTTAGACCTTTCTGTGAATATCCCCAAAAAATACCATGTTATCACCCCTGCCTACTCAGTGGGTAAGCTCTACACAGTTTGCAGGAAGCTTAAAAGAGTAAATCCTAGCAGTCTCAATAAACTTAAATTCTTCTAGATATCCATGGAAATAAAAGTTGACCATCACCACTACAGTCTACGGAAGCTCTGTCAGGAGCTGCAATGGGACTAGTACAGTTTAC